AATATAATTCTACTTCTGGTCTTTTTTGTTTTATTTTCAACATCAAACTTGTTTTTAGAACTTGGTCATGAACTAAAAATCAAACCAACAACCCCTTTTTTGGAGCCCAGTGGGGTGAGAGTTAATGCAGAAACGTTCACGTGGATACAAACCAAGGGTTTTTTTTTAATGAATTCTTTTCTGTGTTCCATTTCACCAGACTGCGGCTCCATGAGGCGAAGGTGATCAAGGATCGACGGCACCACCTGCGAACTTACCCAAACTGCTTTGTGGCCAAGGAGCTCATTGATTGGTTGATCGAACACAAGGAGGCCTCAGAACGAGACACTGCCATCAACATCATGCAGAAGCTTCTAGACCAAAGCATCATTCACCACGGTGAGGCTGCTCTGTGTTTGTTTGTCTGTCTGTCACAGAGTGCAGCCTCAGTTAGGTTTTTCTGTTCATTTTGTTTAGCTTCAGCTAAAAGATACCACCTTTGAACAAAAGTATTGTAGTTTTCCCAGGAAATGAAAAAACAAAAACAGATCTCATTAGAAGAGATCCAAAATGTTTCAGGAAAAAACTCTTCTGTCATTGTTGTGGGCTCTAATTATAATAAGACAAAGGAAAAAAGATAAAACTAATTACTCCTCCATCGGTGTCCATTTGTAATTTGTATTTATTTATTTGCCGTTGTTTACATTTTTCTCTGCTTCAGTGTTTGAAAGTCTTGCCTGGGAATCAGTAAACAAACTCTTCCTGCTCTCTCCATATTGTAATTTTTTTTTTAAATCAGGAACTTGGATTTTCTGTTTTAAGTGCTACTGCAAAAATAACTCATTGTTTTGTATTTTTTTGAAGTGTGTGATGAGCACCGGGAGTTCAGAGACATGAAGTTGTTCTATCGCTTCCGTAAGGACGACGGCACGTTTCCACTGGACAGTGAAGCCAAGGTCTTCATGAGGGGTCAAAGGATATATGAGAAGTAGGTACAAACACGGCAGCTAACGCTCTGAACTACGTTTCACTGTAAAGATATGGCTAGTTTTGTTTGGCTCATCTTTAGATGATTAGATTTTTAAATTGAAAGATTTTGAGATTTTAGGGCAACTTTCACTCTCTTTAACCTGACTTTTTTCAATTAATTTAAATTATCTTTATTGAGGGAACTTTTTTATTTAAATCTCTCTCTCTCTATCTTACATCAAACCTAGGTGATGTAGTTATTATTGGCTTCCTCATGAGATTGGAAGTGACTTTGTAGAAGGTAGTACATGGAACTTGTTTGTGGAAGTTTAATAGGACATTTTATGGTACGGTTTTGTCAAAGGAATGACGTACTGTATGATGAGTGTTGGATAAAAAGCCTTTCCCCTGTGAGAAACACAAACTCCACACACACAGAAAATACAATCGTTGTTTCAGATCAGTCGTCTGACGGTCTCACAGTATTGTTATTTGTTCTTTTACTCATTCATCTTGTGAAACGTTCAATCGCCTGAAGGTTTTTAAGGAACATTAATATGACACAACAGGTTTTTTGCACTTGTGCAATAAGACGACGTTTCACTTACTCACATGACATGAGTTTGTCTTTGCGGCAGCATGGAAACCAGAATTTTCACTTACTCACATGACACGAGTTTACTTTATGTCTTTGCGGCAGCATGGAAACCAGAAAACAGGACCACAGTGGAACTGGACTCTAAATAATATCACTTGAATTAAGACATTTTTATTTTTAAAACCATTATACAGAAACACAAATACCAGTTTTATGATTTATGGTGTGGCTTGGTTTGAATAATCTTTAATTCATATAAAATCCTTAAAGGTTTAAAGTTGGACTCCTCCTCCTGATACACATAACAAACAGAACTGTGAAGCTACATAAAAAGACTCTTTAGTTTCTGCCTGTCATTCAAGCTGTTATAGTTGTTTTCACTCCACTCTCATTCACACGTTACTGTGATGCAATAATTAAACTGTTTGGACAAGAACTTCAGCATTCTCTGTCCAAACGTCTGGGGCGTAGAAATCTCTTGGCAGCGTTCAGCAAAAAGAACGTGTTTGACTTTAGGTTTCTTAAGCATTTTATATTTTGTCAGTTATAGATATGTTTTCCTGGAATTCCTAATATAATTGTTTATGCCAATAAGAAAACATTTTCCAGTGAATTTCAGGAACTAATGATTCTGATTCTGGCGTGCTCTTAGCTCCTGGGAGTGTGTTTTTAACCTGTTGGTGCATCATATTAGTGGTAGCAGGATGACTCATCACAGTAGCTCCCATACAGAGTGGATTTAGTTCGGAGCGCAGGAGACTAATGGGAATGTTGTTGTTTGTCATCAGCTCCACACCACGGACCGCGTTTGTCCGATGTGTGGAGACCAACAGTTACTATAGAAACACTCATCTCTCTGCATCTTCTTTCTTAACAAAGAAGTGGGATCAACTCACACATGCACACACACACACACACACGTGTGCACTCTTCCATACACCACACACATTCTTTACCATAGGAGCAAAATAAAGGCGTTCTCAGCTGTTCTTGAACACACACACACACACACACACACACACACCGTGGTCCGAACATGTCAAACTCACAAATATTCAAATCTCACTGCACACAGTGACACACTCCTAGAAACAGAGAGAGTTTCAAGTCTTTTTGTGTCTCTCTCTCTCTCACACACACACACACAGCCGTTGCATAAGAGGAAGAAATAGTCCAAGAGAAGACATCTGTCGTCTCAGCTCTCAAAGCAGTGTGTTTATGTAATTGCGATGCTGGAGTGCAGGACACACACACACACACTTAAACACACATACAACAACACACAAACACCCCGGTGCTTGTGCTGGTTCTGACTTGTTGGTATTCTCCAGTGATGTTCTTCAGTCATGGCACCGTTAACAGTCTTTACTCCTATAAAGAAAACCTTTTACAGCAATAAACCAATATCATACTTACAGGACATGATGATTTTCTCCATGTACATAGTAATATGACAATAGTCCTGTCAAAAAGCTGAAGAGACATGAGTCAAAGACTCGAACCATTTCGACCTTTAACCTGATAAATTGATGATATAATTATAAGTTGGTCCAGTTGTGGTTCAGGTTAGTCCAGAAAATAAGGCCACAGTTTTTCACTGGTTTCCATTTGTTCCCAACAAAAGCTCACACACACTCTGAACTGTGATGCTGCTGGTTGTCAGTTCAAACACACACACATTGTTCACTTAACATTTCACACTGTTGTTTTCACCTCAGCTCCCAGGCAACATTGTTCAACACAGAGGGTGATGTTTCACAGGCTGCAGATTTGTGTGTAAATATTTCTGTCTTTAAATTCCACAACACTATTCTATTAACTGCAGTGACACAATCTGTTATTCACCACTATTGTCATCCATGTGGTTTTTGTTGTCATTAAATTACGTAAATTACTGAAAAGTTGTGCCAGAAAAGGTAGTGTTTTTTGGAAACATTGACTTTAAGCTAACTTCCTGTTTGTTCCTGATATTTCCATTCCTGACTCTGCTTCTTATATCACCTCGTGACTCTTTGGAGTAGGAGGAAAAAAACGGCCTCAGTTCATGAACAGGGAGGATCACCTTCTAATTACAGAGCTGGCTCCTGATTGGATGAAACGTGTGGGGAGTTGCCTGTCTTTTGTTGTTCTTTGTTTTTAAATAACTGCCTCTTGTTTTAAACCACAGGCCAAACATACAAGACTGTTTAACTAATACAGTTAGAGGAATAATGCCATCCATCTGTAAATACCACAGATATTAGGTTACTGCACACTGTAGATTCTAGCTGGTATTAGCAGGAGCTGCTCTCTGATTAAACTGTGACATTTTCACATGAATCAGTGCAGACGACTTTTCACATCGCTGACTATGCAGATATACAGTTCAAGTCTAAGGAGTGGGTTCAATAACAAGGTGATCTCATTATCAGAATGTTAATAAAAGGCCATGTTGTCATGGGACGGACTGGAAAAGAAGTGGCCGGTGGATTTGATGTGTCATAAAAGTAAGTCATCTCAGTTTCCGGCTAAAGCTAGGGCTAAGGCCAGGGCTAGGCCTAGGCCAAGGCCAAGGCCAAGGCCTAAGCCTAAGGCTAAGGCTAAGGCTAAGGCTAAGGCTAAGGCTAAAAGGCTACACCCTGACAGTTGACTGGTTTTTCACAGGGCAACAGCTGGAAAGACATGCAAATTCCAAACCAGTTGTCTTCTTACTTTTCATCAAAAATACNCGCTCTTTTTCACAATCCATTTCTTTTGGGAAATACTATTATAGGTGTGGTCTAAGAGAGTCATCAGATCAATCCTCCGTATTCTACAGCAGAACCCCAGCATGCATTGCCGAGTCATTATAGACAACTTAAATTATTAACATACTGTATCTCCACACAGTAATATTTCCCGTACACTCCTCAGGATCATTTGTGTAATACCTTATGAGCCATTATTCAAAGCAGCATTCCTCACTTCCAGTGCAGTTAGTCAATCTCCTTTAAACTAACATAACATGATCTGTTGACTTAACATGTTTGGATGGATTAACTGGCATTGTGATGTTAATGCACCTCTTATGAAACACTGGGTCAGTTCCTACAACGTTGGTGTTACATTGTCGGCTGTCGATGTGGGCCGCCCCAGTGACCCTGTCCAAAGTTCTAATCCAGAATAATTTGTCATTTCAACAAGGCATTCCTCTAATCTGTCAACACAAAGTAGTTGTGGGTGTAGTCTGTAGACTAAACATAAATAAATATAAATTCAATCTAAAGTTCTCTGTGTTCCAGCTTTTATCTTAATCAAACTGGAGTGTAGGGCATTTTGCAACCGTTTCAAATCTGCTGTTATGTACTTTTTCAAACTCTGTTTGGTGTTCAATAAGGGTGACATGGAGCTAATGTGGTCAGGGTATAGAATTTAAATTGTTATATTTTCTTCAATTATGCCACAAAACTGCTCTGGTTTATAATTTTCTTACCTGTGTTCAAATAGAAAATCCATTTTGTATAAAAGCTGTGAAGTTGTTTTTTCACAGACAGGGTATGAGTGACACTTTTTTATCTCCACAGACTTCTGAACACAGAGAACACCCTGCTGCAGACCAGGGAGGAGGAAGGTGTGACCTTTGAGCGCACGTTGGTGGCCTTTGAGTTCATCGACTGGCTGCTGCAGGAGGGTGAGATGGCCACCAGGGAGGAGGCGGAGCAGCTGGGACGGAGGCTTCTGGAACATGGTATCATTCAGCACGGTGAGAAAACTGGGTCGTCAGAGGGCAGGGAATCTAAGTGGAGGTCAAGAAGGAGACAGATTGATGGTCTGTGGAAGACCTCTGGTGGCAGTAAACACTGGTTTTGGTCCCACCAAACTTTTGCTAGTTAAGAGTAACCCAACCCATGTAGCAAAACATCTACAATTTGACCTTCTCCTATTAATAGGATTTTGTGACAGTGTTCCCAGAATAGAATTTTTGGCGGCAGAAACCTTTGGTCAGCACAAACTATTTTTACATAAATACAAATTATATTGGTGTAGTTTAAAAAGTTCTGTTAGGCAACTGGATGTGAATTTTCTAAACGAAGACGTTTGAACAAAATGTTCCTACAGATGGGAATTTTTCATTGATCATTAAAATCTCATTAGGTCTGAAATATTTTTACAGGGCCATAATAATTGATTGCGGTGTTGATTTTCTTTATGGCTCTTCTGTCACCGTCTCAGTATCTCACTCATGCTTTGTTTTTGTCGGTCATTCAACCCTGATGACACGTGTAGATATACTGTTATATTCTGGGACTAGACTCTGACATTGTCTCCATGACATAACTCTAGTCATCTAAGGTGTGTTATGGCCCTGCAGTAGGAGATATCACAAAAATATAGAAAGCTCTCCTAAAAGTGAAAGTGGGTTAACAGTGTCGAGGGAAACTTTAAAAATGGAAACTTCTCCAGTCTCCTGTGACCTTCCTTCTCAACACTGCCAATCACATTGTAGCTCAATTTGGGCTTTCAGACACGAACTGACCCACGTCATGTGGTACACTGTGTGAGATTTGTTCCCAGCCAGGATTCACCCACCAGTGGATCAGTGGGGAGACTTAGATATCACAGTTACAGTGATTATTCTTCGCCAACCACAAACTTTGGCCAAACTTTGCAGATGGTGACATGAGTATAACAGTTCTATGACATTAAGGTGACAGTACCAGTGTTATGTGCTTTTGGTGCTCTAAAAAATCAACTTAAGATACAAATGCAGACACTTGCTGGTTGTGTGAATAAAAAAAGGACAAGTTTGTCTGTGTCAAATTAGAGGTCAGAGGTCACCTCACTGATACCCCCTCCATCTTTGCCTGACCTGACCCCCCCCCTCAGAGATGCATTCGTGAAGAATGGCTGGAGTTGCAGAATGTGACTGAGTAATAAACTGTGACCTAAATGTTAGAGGTCCTTTAGTTCTGGCTGCAGGAGCAGGAACCAGGACGATCATGTTATCAGTGACTGTGATGGAAAAAAAAAGGTTCCACTTAAAAAAAAAAAAGAAAAATCCTTCTTTTTCTCGTTTGCCACCTGTGAGTGTTGTGGTTATGAGTGATTTCCTGTTGATTCACCACATGACGTCACATGACTTCATGCTGCTGCCTGTACTTAGTGTTACATTTGATTGTTTATTTACATATAGTCTAAGTCACATGACCTCGGCTCCGAAACTGAGTGCTCAAAACATCAATGAGAGTGTTGTTAAACATAGTTTAAATCATCATAAAGAATATAAGTGGTTGAAAAGATTTTAGGGAGTTACAATTACTTATGTTTTTTTCCATTTTTCTTCCCATTATTTCCTTCCCTCCCCACACAGTCATCATCTCCCTCTCATTTCCTGCCTCTCATGATGTGTTAATGTAATGTTGAGCATCTCAAGGGGAGAAGGAGTCCTAGTCTCATATAGACACACACACACACACACACTCACTCACTGAGCTCTTCTGCTTCCCGTCGGCCTCACTGAGGCTTCAGTGTTGAAATCACTGCAGCAGAGTTGAAGTGAATGACGTGTGAAGTGGGTGAACCTGACAGTCACTTTTGTTACTGTGGTGAAGGTGGAGTGCAGGGTGGGGACGAGAGACGTAATTTCAAATAATTCACTTTAATAACTCTTGTATTTATTTGCCCTGTGGCTGAAGGCAGGGCAGGTTTGGAGGTAAAGAGCTGCTCTGTGCTGCTGCTGTGGTTACACATCCAGACGCCTGATGTGTCCTGTAGGTGGCAGCTCCAGATGGGTCCACATTGTACACGAGATGTACATGTTACCAGGATACAGAAGGGACCCCCCCCACCCCCGCCCCCTATGTTCTGTATTTTTATTTGAACTATTTGCAGTTTGATCATTGAACCTAATCCATTATTTTTTATTTTTCAAAATGTAATCTTAAATAGCCATTTTTTTCAGTCATCAACCAGAGTGGAAAAAGCCTTTGTTGTATAAATGGAAAATACCAATCTAATTCAGAAACACTAAGTTCATTCAACTCTGCTCTCTTGGCTGCTCTTCCTCCTCCTCCTTCTGTGTATGAGCCAGATAATGGAAAATAATAAACTGAAGGCTGATGGACAGAGACATGAAGTCCAAGAAGAACGTCAACACATGAATGTAAATTAATTAGAATGGGGGGGGCAATCACATTTTCACAATTTCACAGCATGGTCGTGTGAATAAGGCTTCAGTTGTCTTATCATGTAAATAAACTGTATGACGTGTGACTTGTATAAAATAAAATCACACTGAAGCGATCCCTAAAACGTAAAATTAATTCAAATTAGCATTTTTTCAGCCTAAACTTTGTGACCTCTGACCTCTGTCTTTTTCGCAGCCCAAATTAATTTTTAATTATTTCTTTCACCACTAGTCACCAACAGACATCACTTTGTGGACGGACCTCTCCTCTTCCAGTTCAAGATGAATTTTCGGCGACGTCGACGACTGATTGAACTTATTCACGAGCGCGGACGCTGCATCCCCGAGAGCCACGACAGTCCCTTCTGTCTGAGGAAGCAGAACTCAGACGGCGGCAACACCAGCTTCCTGTCAGGTTAGCACTGTGACACAGTCCTGATTCACTGGGTATGGAATAATCCATAATGTTTGGAGTCAACGTCAACATTTCAAAGTTTTCTTGACATTTGTATTGGTCCAGTTTCTTACAGTTCCTTATTCACTGTTTTCTGTGTCCGACTGCGTTTGTCTCAGTGAGTCCCACCAAAGAGATAAAGATGGTGGTGGGCGTTCGTCGCAGCAGCATGAGCAGCAGTTGCAGCAGCAGTGGTTATTACAGCAGCAGTCCGACACTGAGCAGCAGTCCACCTGTTCTCTGCAACCCCAAATCAGGTATGGTCCTGTTTCAGCGGTGAGAGGAATCACTGCGTGTGTTACTGCTTCATCCATATGAAAGTGTTTATACAATAAATACTGACCATTTACCACACACCATTCAGTTCCTCGTCTACATTCACTTCCCCTTTATTAAATGGCCTTTACGGCGTGTGCTGGTGTTCTGTCTCTAGGTACAGTGTGGGCCTAAGTTACTTAAATACAAACCAATGCTCAACAAGACGCCAACATTTTGCAGGTCTCCACTCAATGAGGGAATATGTTGGAAGTTATTGTCAGATTAGAGTTTGAGTTGGGATTATCATGAGTCATACACGTGTAATTGATATTAATGTTGCAGTAAGTGTCTAAGAAATGAATGATGTGAACGGGAAGAGCTCAGAAAACACAAAGACTCGACGTCTCTTTGTAGTTGTAGCAGAAGAGACCTCCTTTCTTCATGATGGATTTACACACTGTACAGGAAAAGGAAGACACACACACATATAAACACACATGCACATCAAATGCGCACAATAACCTTGTGTGTATCCAATGAAAGGAAGCGAATGCATTCATCTTTGTCCCAGTCTAATCAGTACTGCAGTGAAATTGTCATTTTGGACAAGATCATTTAAAGATCATTTTAATCGTGTCTTTCCGCAGCGCCAGTTTCAATTTTCCGAACTGTTTTGTTCTATTAAATAACTAACGTGAATACAGAGAAAGTCATTGTGTCTTCAAGACCGTCCAGTCAAGTCATGTGCTGCCTCACATCGAGGGGAGTGAAGTTATAGGGAAGTTGGAGGAGGGTAAGAAGAGCTATACTGTTTCAGGAAGCAGTGAGCCTCCAGGCCCTGTGTTAGTGTGTGTAAAACACACACTAACACACACACACACACACACACACACACACACACACATGAATATACACTGACATCAACTCCATTTGGTTTCTTTGTTTTCCGTGTGCATCTGTTTTAATGTCTGCGAGTTGATGCACGTGCTGGATCTCCACACACGCCCTGTGAAGACCTGTGCTGACACTTATACGTTCTATTTGTTGTGTTGTGTTTTTCCACAACAGTTCTGAAGAGACAAATAAGTCCAGAGGAGCTGCAGACGCCAGGAGGACCTTATATCAAGAAGACATTCACAGTAGGACACACACACACACACACACACACACACATGCTCAGTCCTTACACTAATTTTATTGAGATTAAAAACCTGACCCTAAACCAGTGGTTCTCAAACTACTGGTCATTCTCTTTGACAAATGAGGATTTCCAAGCCCCAACAACAACAAAAATGACATTCAAATGTACTGAACTACTGAACTGAGACCATGGAACATCATATTTTATACTGAATCAAAATCAAAAGCATCAAATAACAGAAATTCAAATTCCCTCCCGTTTGTCCCGCCCCACCTGTCATGTCCAAACCCTGACCTGTCCATCCAACAGGCAAAACTCAAAGTTCCAGTAATAGACCTGTCTTTAAAAGGTCAAAACGTCCTCACTGTGAATAATTGGTTTTTCTTACTTGTTCCTCAGATTGTAGGTGACGCTGTGGGCTGGGGCTTCGTGGTTCGAGGCAGCAAACCGTGTCACATCCAGGCTGTGGATCCTGGAGGACCTGCAGCTGCTGCTGGCATGAAGGTGAGACTGAGACTGAAATACAGTGTCTGTAGATGTGTTCCAATGTGTTCCAGACCTCATCTACACACAAACACATTTGTCCACTTGTCTTTGTCCCCCTAAAGTTGTCATTATCTACTTCTATGCACACACACACACACACACACACGTCAACTGTGCGACTCAGTGAATGCTGTTTATTCCTGTAGCTTTACGTTAAGTGAGGTCTGTGGTTGGCAGTTGCTGAGAGAGTCTGGAAAATCAAGGAAAAGTGCTGTGACAGGGGAAAAAGTCCTGGAGCAGGAACACACAGGAGCTTTTTTTTTTTAATACAGCTGCCATGACGGTATGTACGGTGTAGCAAGGCATCCTGGGAATGCAGAGTGTAGCTACATTAGACACAACATGACAAAGAAAGAAAGAGGAGGGGGTAAGAGGGAGGGGGGGGGGGGGGGAAGGAAGGAGTCACAGAGAGAGAAGCAGAGACAGGTACGACTTAAAGGAACATAATTAACACTTCGGCTGAAGGCGTCAACTCTGTTTTTATTTGCTTTTTTTAAGGGTGGAGGTGTAAGGAAGGACAGGATAGAAAATAAGTGAGCAGTGAAAGAGGAAACATTACTGACTATGACACTTCTGCTGCTTATAGTTCACTGTCATCATGTGTTTTTAACCAGCTAACATGATTTATGAGTCACAGCCCATAATAAAAGTGTGTGTGTGTGTGTGTATAACTGATCAGAAAGACATCTTTACCATGAGAACGTCCTCTCATTCCTTCCCTATAAAACCCGATTAAACTTAATTGTAGGTTTTGTCTTAAAAGACATTAAATGAAAGACGTCTTTCTGAAAAATCTAAAACCATAAAAACAAATCAAAGGTAACATGAGTCACAAACCCAATGTGTGTTTATTGCATAATATTTATTACCTTACTACACTGTTCCGCTGTGTACCTGTCCAACCGGGGTATCAGTGTGAATTAGAGGACTGTATCGTTTTGTTCCATTAGTACCTGATAGCATAAAATATACTGCAAGTGCCGTCGACACGCTATAGACGTGCTGTTAAATTGTTGACCTTTGACACGACAAACTTACTGACTGAAACTACTGCCTGGAGAATTGATAATGGAAGAAAATGTAATTAAAAAAAAAATCAGCCAGAGTGAAAACCCAGTGTCATAAAAAATAACAGAACTCTGATTTAACATGATGTAGCAAATATAGCAAAAAAAAAAAAGAAAAAGAAAAGAAGAAAAAGAAAATAAACAATTGTCATCTTGGTTTATTACCACACTGACTCATTTTGAATCTAAAAAAAACCCCCATCTGTCTTTGCTTTAGCAGCAGCCAAAACAGGTTGAATGCATGTTAAAAGAGAGTCCGATTTAAAGAGACAGGCTCCACCGTAACACTGTCAAAGTCAAAGTCAGTGAATTTAGATGTTCTATAATCAAGGCTGTTTGTCATCAGACAGTTCACCTCCACTGTGCTGTGTGGAATTGTGTCACTTGTTTACCAGCGCTCCCTGCTGTTTCTAGAATGTTTCCACGTCACCTGAGAAGTTGTGTTTACATGTGTCAAAGCAGTAACACAATCCAGTGTGGAGAATTCTATGTTGTTAAGTTCTGGCACCACGTTCCTAGAACAGACCAAAGAACCCAGAAGGTTTTCCTAACAAACGCTCTACTCTCCCTCTCTGTCTGTCTCTCTCTCAACCACACACACACACACCCACACACACACACACACACACATTAGCATCGTCTGACCATGAAGCATGTTGGCTCTTATGCACTCGTCTCACACATCACTTCTGTAGCTTGTTTTGTGATGCAGCAGGTGGCGCCATCTGTGTTCTCCACCCCCCGCTGCATGTTTGAGTGTCATTACAGTGTGGACTTCAGTATGTTCTCCTTCACTCAGCCTCTTTGGGCCCATCTTGTCACTACTTCTTTCCAGTCTTTTAAACTAACCCATATTATAGTTCAGTTATTGAACCAAAAGCTGTGTTTATTAGACAATTGCCTTGAAATGTTAATTAGTGATTAGGGTTGATGTTTAAAATATTTTATCAGAAGTATTTTCCTGACCTCTAATATCACTTCAAAACCTTTAAGAAGTGAAGGCTTGAACCTGAACCTGATACGTTTCTGTTTCTGTACGAATACTGATACGTGTATTTGTGAGTTCTCCTGAGACTTTACTCCAAATACAGTTTTAGCCTAATCTTAATGAACCGCAGTAATCACAGAATACAGAGATCAGCATCTAAACACCGACTCCTCTCCTGCTAACGTCGGCTCTCCTCCTGGGCCTCGCTCCTATACTGAATTCTGCCCCTGCTCTGTAGGAGAGTGATTTAACCCTCTCTCTGCACAGGACCTCAGCCAAGACCAACAACTCCACGGTCTGAAAGGAGGACAGACGGGGGAGGGTTGGGGGTTAGCAGAGAGAAAGAAGAATAGAGACAGAGTAAAAGAGCGCGTGTCCACCAGTGCATGATGGGACGGGAGCGTGATGTACTGTGGTGTATAGGCAGAGGTTAGATGTGATTACAGTGAGAGGCTGGAATTCCTCTGTCGTACAGAGAAATGTCGCCTTCCTCCCTCCCCTCTTCATGACTCCCAGTTTTTCTGCTCAGTTTTTTCTTCACTTTCTCTCCTGAGACATAAAACAGTTCAGGGAAAAAAAACCATTGAGAGGTAAATTGTTTCAAAAAGACCAGAAAACAGTTCCAGTGTTTGTTATGATTGCACATCTGTGAAGTTCTATTGGCCGATGGTGCCTTTGCCTGGAAATACTTCTCTTTATCACCATTGAGTTTCAATGTCTACACTAAAGCCAGTTGTATAGGTTGATAGTTTAGGTAAACATGTAATCGTACAGTACCACAGTAAAGTGCCAATGCAAATGGTGCAACGTAATAATCAAGTAGAGGTCATTCTGAATATCCCTTTTATTAACAATGGACCATGGTTCACATCTGGGCCTGGACCAGCTCCTCTGTGCACTTTGAACTTTTGTATTAATAATTGACAGCTGCCTGGTTTGAGTTGTTTTAGGATAGGTGAAACAGACGTGATCACGATGATTCCATACAAACAGTGAATTTCAACTTTACAAATTAGTAAATGAACTTCTTTTTCATAGATATTATGATGGTGTGGATGAGACATCGGAGAACCTCTTTGTATTCTGATGTGTTTTATAAATCGATATCATGAATGAAAATGTGTTCATCACTAACATATGATTTATAATTTATTTTTGTCGATTTACACATTTAATAAAGGAAAAAAAAAATCACAGTTACCGAGGACAAGCCAAACTACAGCAGTGGTGGCAGTAATGACGTCCTCAACATAAACAGCCTTAGTTTGTTATCAGAGCTGCCAAGTTGGAGCAGTGGCTAAATGTTGATAAGGAAGGCGTGACAGGAGAGTGACAGGAGAGTGGAGTGTGGCCGACAACTCCGTGAACTCTGTGTAATTTAGGGGCAGTAATTACTGCATGGTGGTACTTGGTACTATTTGTGGTTCACTAATTGAACTGAATTACAGTTAAGACTAGCTGTGTTTTTAAAGGAATATTCCAACAGAAACCTCAGGGGCCTGAGGGCTGTAGAGCTGCTGTAACCAAGAGCCTTTGTCAGGTTAGGTGAGGCTGAGCTCTGTTGACTGTGGAGGCGAAAGTTGTCTTTGGCTGCACACAAAGAAACAGGATACACGTATAGAAAGGACAGGACGTGAACAGCTTACAGAAACAACAGTCGAAAATAAAAGGACAATAAGGAGCGGACACTTGGGTTACAGCCACGAACAGGTACAGCAGTTTAATCAGGACCAGCAGTTTAATCAGGACCAGCAGTTTAACACCTGGTAGTTGCTGTAAAACATGTGATGAAACGCCAGCCAATTGTTCACATATAGAGGTGGTTACTTCTTATGTTGATTTATTTTTTTCCTGCTTCTCTTTTGTCATTAATCTTGCTCATTTTTACTCTCGTATTTTTTGGACTATGAAGTTTTTTTTATCCTTTGGCTGGGTTTGCTACTTGTGTGACATATTTTAAAATATATTATTTCACATTTATTTCAGACTGACAGCCACTAGAGGGCACTCTAGGTGACTTATATATGTTGTTTTCTTCTTCATTATGCATATACTTTTTTCATTTCATTCTTCATTACTTTGTTCATCTGTCTGGGGACAGTGTTGGGACCAACTATCTTATAGGCCAGAGGTCAATCTGCATTTGATTTACAGTATATATCATATTTATATAAATCAAGTGGTGTTCACTGGATATTTGGTTAATTGTTAATTATAGTGAGCCACACAAAAACTGATGCTTCTGTACTGTATACTGTGACATATTATCTTAAGCTGCACTTTTTTAAACGAGCCAATTCCGGGGACAGTGTTGGGACCGACTGTCTTATAGGCCAGAGGTCAATCTGCATTTTCTTTGAGACTTTAACAAAGAAAGTGTTCAACAAACAAGGTTCTATGTGTAGTGGTTAAAATACTGTGGTTAAAAACGTGGCTATCCTGCCTGGACATTTTAATGGTATTCAGAGACCAGTGTTGAACTTTTGTGATGTCTCCTTCTTCTTGCAGGTTTGTCAGTTTGTGGTGTCTGTAAATGGACTGAACGTCCTATCTCAGGACTACAGGTCCGTCAGCCACCTGATCCTAACTGGACCCAGGACCATCGTCATGGAGGTGATGGAGGAGGCGAAAGTCTGAGGAGAGACTCACAGAAAAATGATAATTTAATCAGGTCATGTTTTTACACCTGACCTCAGACGGTCACACAGACGGAGACCACCTGAACTGCAGCTCACTCTCTCTTTATTCCCGTGGTTGTTTGGACAAGGTGGATGAAAGAGAAACGGCGTCTTCAAGAATGTGGAGTCAATGATTCAACCAGCTGGTAAATCATACATGTCGTCCTAATTTTCACTCACCTCACAGTGCAACAGCCACAACTTCCCACTGTCTGCAGCCAACAGTGACTGCACCTTCACGGTGTGCAGAACAGACGAGACGACTTTCCTGTTTCTCTCTAAGGTTTACCTTGAACTGCGCCAGAACTGAAGATTTTATGGAACACAAGACACTTTTTAACAGCACAAACCTCGGCGTGAAAGGGTAAAAACAGAAACTCAGACAATAAGGAACATTATTATCACCAATACACACAAACACACACTGTTTTCTGTGTTTTGCAAGCACTTTACATCAACACTGCATTTTCTGCTCGCTATCAATAACTTTAACCATTTATAATCTGAATCCTCACTCTAATCTGAAATCTCTCCCTTCATGGGGACCTGTCAAAATGTCAAGGACAGTGTCCCCCACAACAATCATTTTGTGTCCCCACAAGGATAGCTATGCATGAACACACACACACTGACCTCGTCCCCATTTTACGGGCGTAAACTGAGACTCTTGATGGCGCAGCGCTGCCCTCTGCTGGGATATACAAGCACGCACATGCAATGAGTACAACTAAAGTTGTCAGAATTCATAAATGTTATATACAACATATATACAATAAGCCAATTGGAGGAAAGGTTGTGTAAAATCATCCTTTACATCTTTTAAATTTGGATTTCAGATTAGATTCATAGTTTACTGTGTTGCTGCGAGGATGTTGGTCGTGTACACAGTTAAAATGCAGTGAAAAACTACATTTAATGTCCATTGGCACAATGTACAGAAACTTTACGCACAAACAAAAAATGTACTTCTTCTCCGTCAGATTTTCTGTTTACGGAATCAAACGACATAGAACAGATTAGCTGTGAGATTAATCGTCTTTATAGGATATTTTCCTGGATTATTTAGGTTTTTAGCATGAGTTTGAATTGTCCTTACAATTCAATGTAACAGTTTGTGTGAGAAGTTAATGTTTTTTCTCATATTTAAATATTTGAAATACAGTGTTTTTACTTTTTATTTTAATTTTTAATTTTAAAAAAAGGATATAATTGAAGATATAAAACATTTGTTCATTAGATTAACAAAATACTATATATATATATATATATATATATATATATATATATATAAATATAGACAACAGCCTACAATCTTGTCGTGTAAAACATGTTAGACAGAAATGTTTAGGATAAAAATATATATATATATCTGCTAGGACTGCAGCTAGTTAGCGAAGAGATAACTAGGTAAAACAACAGAACTATAACAAGGTTAGCCTAAAAAGCTAACTAAACAGTCATAATCATAACCAGAAATAATAAAAGATAAATAAATAAATAAAAATTAGAAACAAGCCTTAAATTCACTTGGAGTAAGTCGAAATTAAATTAACCATGGGATCAACTGATAAAAATACATCAACAAAAACAATGTGTGAACATAACCCCCGGAGTTGCCTAAAACATATATATAAATATAGCTTAAACAAATTTATTATGTACACATTTTTGACAAAAGTTGGTAAAAGTCGAGTAGAATTATCTGCCAAAAGCCAAACAAGTGTCCAACAAATAACTGAAGTGGGTAAAATGTTAAAGTTAGCCAAAATTGCTTAAAAATTGCCTATAATTTAGTTATTGATAAATTTGGAAACAAACATTTTTGTGATATATATTACAGTGGGGTTACAGGTCTCCTTACTTTTGCCACTAACAAAATTATTGTTTTTACAAAAGGGATTTCCTGTTTTATTTTATAATTTGTATAAATGTACATAAGGTACAGTATGTAAGTGGTCAATATAAAACTAATATCCTTCATCTAGCACTTACTACATGTTAACGTCCACCCTCCTTATAAACCAGTCAGTAATCCCAGTAATTGTCCAGAGTTATAGCTAATAAGAAAGTCCAAACAGTCAAACAAATCAACACTGTCACTGTATGACAGGGTCTCTGTATACATATGTATTTGAGGGCCTAATTCTGTTGATGTAGAAAAGGTAACACTCCCAAAAAATTTCTGTTTTTTTTTTTTGCCTTTAACTTTTACTGATCCTGTTTTTTTTATTTGCTGAAAATCAACCACAGATTTATTTTTTTATTTGTTTGATTCAAACATTTATTTTCAACAACACCACCAGCCCTTTGAAATTAAAGTTAAACTAATGTTAAATGGTGTGTTGTTAAATAAAATCTATTAGTCACCTGTTTGTTCTATGTACTTTTCCAGAATTTTTCAACAGTTTTGTCCTGAAGTGGATTTTATTCTTTAAACAAATGCAGTTTGTTTTGCAGTAAAAATTCAACCGAATATTCTCAGCAGGTACCAAATACCCTGTCTTTTCCCAGTGTGTATGTGTTAATCAGTCAAATGCATGATTCGTGCACATCTCTCTGCAGCATTTGCTCCTGAACAGAACCAGCTACAGGTGTAGAGTTGAGTGTCATCTGCATACGCTTTTTTTTTCCACGTTTTTTTGCAATGGCACTGCATTTTTCACAGAAGTTGATTACATTTTTTTTCATCTCGCCTGTACTGCTGTTGTTACTGCAGTTTCTTCACTAAGTACTTAAAGATCAGGTATATCAATAGTTATTTTTTTATCTGTAATCATTTCAGAATCTCCCATGTAAAAGATTCAACGTGTGTCATTACATCTTTATTCCCAGTATCTACACTCAGCATGGGTTCCAGTCCTCTCGCCTTTTCCTCCACAGCTGCAGTGTGAATCTTGGCCACTGTGTCTGAAGACGGTCAGGTTTGGTTCTGGCTGTGATTCTGATGAAGGAAACAGTTTGTCTGAAGGCGGTTTGTAGAGTGGACAGTGAGGGATGATGGCCTCAGAGGGTTGGTGATAGATGATGACTTTCAGGGTGAGGAAATGTGTGGGCTGTTACTGTCATGGGGGATGTGTGTGGGCGGAGGAGACTGGAAGCACTTAGGCCTTAGTATCTGTTTTTGCTTTGGTCTCTTATCATCCACGGTTCCAGCACTGTTATTACTTTTTCTGATGATAATGTACAGTTGAAAATGACAATCAGTGTTCATCAGGTGTCTGCACACGTGCTCCTTTAGTGTCCGTTTTATTTTTTGACTTGACTCAGTCAAAGGGATTCTTTTCTGTACGTTGACGTCAAATCTAGGGAACGTTTTTAACAACAAGCAGATGTGACTGATTTTGGTTGTTGTGATATAATGAGCAGTTCCTCAGGTGTTGAATAAACACACTGTTGTGACGCTACTGTGTTGACACTTGGCTTTATTTGTATTTTTATTTGTTTGTTTCCTTTTGTGACGGCAGAAAAACAGCAGGTGGTTCGTCAGTATAATGTATGAAGGTCAGGACACAGAGGAATCAGTCAGTAACCAGTCACCTCAGATTGACCTGATCTCTGAGGGTAAGTCTACACGTTTGAAGACAAATTTAAAAGATTTTTTGCAAGTAACTTTTTTTCTACAGGTACGTCATTACAGTCTAGATCAGGGTTATCAAGCTCCAGGTCACGTGTCAAAGGTGGCCCACAAACCACCCACATGCGGCCCCCAGCTACACGTCCCTGTGCTGTTAGTCTTTGGCCCTTCGAGGACATGGTCCTCAGCTCATTTGAGTTTAAATTTTAAACATTTTTTAAAAGTGACGTCATCAGAGAATTCTGGAACGTACCATCAGCTTATTTTCCTTCGTTTCGTACTGTGCATGTTTTGGATGCATTTGTTCAACGCGACCACCAGGGGGTAGCGTTCTACCAGTAATCGTGGTCTGACGTTTGTGTTTAATCATTTTTCTCTTCACGTTTGGATGTGGTTCACACATTCACAACTAGTGACAAGATATTAATTGCGCTCATTTGTTTTCATTTAGTTCATTTTTATACAAGGTATGGTTAAAAAATGCAAGGTTTTTGAACTATAGGTGTTTTGAAGGTGTCTTACTGCGAGCTATATTTCCGTGTTCAAAACCTACTGCTGTGTCCTGTTGATGGTTCAATGTGTTGTAGAGTTACATTTAGTTACATGTTTAACTGAGCGAATGATGAATCTTTTGAGTCAATATAATTTAGTGATTCATTGTTGACACTGGTGGACTACGTGTCGCTCCCTTCTTTCCTCATCGACGACTCCTCATCTCAGTGGCCAAGATGTCGGATCTTTGTCCTGTTCTGTCTGATCTTCAGTTGGTCTTTTGTGAGTCTGGCTCAGAGGGGTCTCTTCAGTGGAACATCCTCACAGTCTATTTCTGTGCCAGACTTCAGTGATTGTCATTTTTGACTCTTTAATTCCAAACTGGATTTTGTCACTCCCTAGTGTTCTAGCTGATATTGTAGTGACTTTTGACATAAAATATTTCTTACAAGCAGTCTGGTGCAGTGTGGATCTTCTTAAACTTTTTTTTCTCCAGTTCTTGACACTTTATGTCACTTTCTAAAAGCAAGGCACATATATATATATATATATATACATGCAACATATATATGTGTGCCTTACTTTTACAAATTTCAGAAAAATGAAGATCTTACTGAGAACGTCTGTTTAAGAGACAAACAGCACCACACTGCACTGTTGCTCGAATGTGATAGATGTTTAACTAACAACATAGTTTGTCCTGTGTCATGCTGGTCAAGGGTCTTTTCTATTTCGTACAAAGGACGTGTATTTTTTAAAAATAACAATCACTGATTTTCTTATATGTGAAAAGAGACTATAGGCAATCTGTTGTGTAATGGGCAAACAGACAGACAGACGGAGAGACAGACGGAGAGACAGACAGACGGACAGCATCTCTTTGGCAGAGACAAAAATGTAGGACACCAGCCAGACGGAGAGACAGACAGACGGACAGCATCTCTTTGGCAGAGACAAAAATGTAGGACACCAAACCACACAAAGCTTTCTTGTGTGAAGGATCGTGAAAGAACCCCCCCCCCCACACCTTCATCCTACTTCTTTCCCCATCTTTTAACTCCGAGTTAACAGGTGTCAACTTGAGTAAGCCTTATCTGATGGGAGGCTCTCTGTCTTTGATCCTTCTATCTGTTCCTCTGTACATCCATCCTCGTCCCCACGTAGACACACAAGGTGACACTGCATTTACCAGCCCTCATTCAAGTACCAACCCAGCCCTGTTGTTCTGTGTTCACTATACAGAGAAGAGGCACATTTAATTAAAACTGGCTGCGTCACAAATACACAGAGAGAAGGCTGACGTTGGCCCCCTGGTGGACACTCCTGTCCCAGGGAAAATACAAGTAAAAAGATGAGAGAAATACTAAGACTTTTTTCATCAACTGTGGTGATCATTTTTGGAGATTTGTGTTCAGTTGCCCCTGCGAGAGCAGTGTGTTGACACAACATGCTGTTGCTCAGAACATACCGAATCACAGCAGCGCTGCCAAACTTAGGAGACTCCCAACAGGGAATGAGATAAAAGTGTTTGCAGAGTGGCATATATAAGATCCTATGAAGGTTTGCAAAAGCCCAGCTGGTCCAATTAAAACAACATTAATTTCGACAGAATGAGCCAGGATACCGTAATTAGTAAACATAAAAAAAACGTCTCGTAACTGTGATGGCAGCCAAAGTATTTGAGTAATGGGAAAAAAAATACAAGGTACAGTATTTTTGAAAATTTTTCAAAGTGTGAAAATAACAATGTGAAATTATATATTTTAATATATAAACACAGTACTTAAATGCATCTGCAAACCGCTTAGCTTTCAATTGTTGAGTAAGTGTTGATGTGGCTATGCGTAGTAATGGTTAAAACAGCACTAGCTAGTGTTAGAATAGCAGAACTGCAATCAAAATCCACAGCCTTTTTCTTCCTGGACGGCGTTAAAGATATGGTTTAAGGCTATTACCATGTCCTTTTTTTTTATCTCTGATATCCCATATATATTACCGTACACTTTCCTTATCTCTTCATTGTGCAAATAATGTGCAGTGATTCCTGGAAGCAAAGTAAGATCCAGTGGAATCTCCTCTCCTTCATTTTCTTTAATCATCTTTTTAAGAAGAGCAGCATTAAGTGGCAGCAGGCGACTGCCATTATTGAATAAAGGTCAGC